TCCATTCTTCATCTGGCATTGGAACGCCGCTCTGTCCTCAGATCAGTCTTGGACTCCGGCCTCGGGATCCTCCTCAAACGCTGCGACCACTGCTGCTCTCTTCACGTTCGCATATCCCTCCTCTCTCCGGCGACGCCCCAATCTAACATAATTCCTCAATGTCCAATGAACTCATCAGCCTCGAATCTCTCACTCGAGACATCCAGGCTGAGAAGCCCGTATGGCCTTTGTCCTCATTCGGACCGGCGAAGTCTCAGCCAACTCTCATCGCCAACCTCGACGAATCGCCTGAAGAGTTACGGGTCAGATCCGTACAGGCAGCACAAACAGGAAACATACAGGAATATGTAAGTTACTACCATCAGTTCTTATCATACACCTCCCCCAATACACCCGTCACGCCTAGTTGAAGTACGAGGCGGACAAGTTCACCGCGGCGCAAGCTCAATACACCAGTGCCCAAGCCAATCTCCAGGCTCTTCATGCCCACGCTATCAAGAACCATGACGCGCAAGCCTCAGGTGGCACACCCACTGGTTTCACACCCGGCTCTCCATCTGTGTTCGGCACCGCAGGGACCTCCGCCTTTGGCACACCTGCGTCGACCTCCGTGTTCGGACAACCCTCAGGGTTTGGCGGTGGTTCTGGCTCTGCAGGCACGTCAGCCTTTGGTTCTGGCACCACGACTTCTGCATTTGGCCAGTCATCTTTCGGGCAGCCGGCGTTCGGTCAGTCGGCGTTTGGCAAGCCTGCTGGTGGTTCGGCTTTCGGTCAACCAGCGCCCACTACGTCGGCATTCGGACAACCTGCGCAAGGTGCTATCACGTCCGCGTTCGGCGCCCCCGTTTCCGGCCCAACCACTTCTGTCTTCGGAGCGTCTGCGCAAGGCACAACGACATCTGTCTTCGGACAGCCTGCTACGGGCACATCGGTGTTCGGACAATCAGCGCAAGCAGCGACGCCATCAGCGTTCGGAAAGCCCGCGCAAAGCAGTACAACGTCCGCATTCGGACAACCAGCCTCTGGGACAGTGACTTCCGCCTTCGGGCAGCCTGCGCAAGGCACATCTGCGTTCGGTCAACCCTCACAGGCTTCTGCCTTCGGTCAACCAGCATTTGGCCAGTCAGCGTTTGGGAAAGCTGCCGCTCCAGCTGGAGGTAACACGTCCGCCTTTGGCCAGCCCGCTCAAGGGGGCACGACGTCTGCATTTGGTCAACCCGCACAGGGTAATACGACATCTGCTTTCGGGCAGCCAGCGACGGGCGCCGTCACATCAGCCTTTGGTGCACCGCAGACAACATCCGCCTTTGGGCAGTCTGCGTTCGGACAGAGTGCATTCGGCAAGCCCGCAACCACGTCGGCTTTCGGCGCAGGTGCTACGGGATCGACTGGCGGTGCGTTCTCGGCCTTTGCCAACCAGCCCGCTTCCGGCCCAGCTGCTGGTACGAGTACGAGTGGTGGCGGGGCATTCTCTGCGTTCGCCGGCGGCCAGCCGTCAGCATTTGGCCTCGCGGCAGCTGCGAAGGCACCAGGAGGTTCAGTGTTTGGTCAACCTGCGTTTGGCGGTGGTGCAGGCAATAACCCAACGTCTGCGTTCGGCGGTGGTGCAGGCAATAACACGACGTCTGCGTTCGGCGGTGGTGCCACCAACAGCTCCATTGTCAACGCAGCGCCGACCACAAGTGCGTTCTCAGCGTTCGGTGGACCGACGACCGCCCCTGTGCAATCCGCGTTCGGGAGCACCTCCGCCGCGACACAACCACAACCTACTTCTGTCTTCAACCCGCTCACAAACCAGCCAACACAATCCCAAGGCGAGCTTCCCGGCCTCTCTGGGCTCGGGCTCTCGACATTCCCTTCAGCTTCCATGTCCTCCACAACCACCCCCATCACCGCTACTCCCGGCCCGTCATCGTCCTTCGGTCTACAGAATGTTCCTCCGCCAGGGTCTGCGAAGCCGAAGTCGACGAAGCCAGACTTTGCTGCTGCACGGCGGAAACAGCTGTACAGACCCGGAGCAACGAAGTACGACGACCTCCTGCCTCCGAATTACATCGAGCTCGTGCCGAAGGCGGCACTAGAGGCGTTCAAGAGCGACAGCGAGAAGTTCGATTGGAAGAACATACCGGATTGGGTCCCGCCCAAGGAAGTGCGGTGACATGCTGTTCGTGCTGAGAGGGAGAGAGCGTGAGTGTCGGTTTCGACCACTTATGAACCATGACATTGCTAGCTCGCCACTCAGTTATAATCTACAGGTTGCCTACATTTTTGTACTATATACACCATCACGATATGACGACCATCTCTAGTTCCTTGTCGACTGATCACAGTACTACTGCGCGGCCGCTGTGTGGACCACGACATCGGGGCTAGACACCATCAGGAAGGGGTTTCTAGAAAGGCATCGCGACATCATACTGCTAGTCGTGACCTGGCCAACAGTAGGTTGACGGCCGAATTCCCCTTCAATGACTGGGATCTTCGATAAATATGCTCAGAATATCCTCGTTCTAGTCTCATCTCAGGGTGACGTGTATTGACAGTGCTGGGTGATCCGCGCTCGCGCGCCCATGTTGCCAATACTCGGCTGCCCTGCAGCTAGATACATAGGGTAATAGTAGGTGAGTGACTTCCGTGGTCATAGGTGCCGGTGATGTTAATTCGCGCTCAACCCTAATGCAAATAATACTTTACAAGTTTGCAATGACTTTACATGATAGCAAAGCCCGAGTCCGCCGACCGACGATCGACAATGGACATACAGTACATCCATATGGCCCAGGAGGAACCATCTGACATGCGATGGCGGCACCACTGCCCAGTACCAACCACCGACCAATCGAAGAGTATAGATTCTCTTGTACGGGGTGCTTCAACAGGGCTGGGATCGACTCCGGATGCTGTATCGGCAGTAGAAGGCCCACGTGTGCTCCGAGCCCAGAGACAGCTCACACAACGTCAACGTCATCTACGAGCCTGGACGCTTTCCCTGTCCTTGGATTTGCCACCATCACCGCGTTCTGCCTAGCCAGCCGTTTGCAACAATGCTGGTGACCTTATGGCTCATCGCAAACGTCAACAGGGCATGTGACGGCGGCGCAAAGCCATGCCACGGCGACAAACCTCCTGCTGTGCAAGTGCGGATCATGCAAAACGCCACAAAGCACTGGAGGAGCTCCATGGAACCTATGCCAGGCTCTCTCCCTCAGTTCTCAGCAACGTTGATCACGGCATATGTGGCTGCTATTTCTGGTCAACCCCAATGTCACGATGGTAAGTACACACATTCTGTGACGGGGGAGCGGTAAGCCATTAATACCCCGGCGGCGTCCGGAAAAACAAGACATACCAGATTGGATTCCGGGACGAACAGGATGCTGGATCTCAGTCCGCCCATAATCATACACCTACCCATGGCAAAGGCTTGGATAGGTCCAGGTTTCCGCCGCTGATGATAATCCCGACCGGGCCTGCGATGCCCAACTCCTGGAACTGCTTGCTCCTGACCGCAGCGAAGGAGGCGGCGCCGCTGGGCTCGACGACGAGCTTCATGCGCTCCCACAAGAGTCGCATGGCGTCCACGATCTCCTGTCGCCCCATCTCTGTTCAGACACCGCCTGGCCACAGCGACCCTGTCGGCCGGCAACACACGCGCACACGCACCTCGTCCGTGACGGTGATGACCGCCTCAACCTTCTTCTGGATTACCGGGAAGTTCAGCGCCCCGACGGGCGTCCTCAGCCCGTCCGCGATCGTGCGCGCGTCGACGTCCTCCCGGCGCCTGCCCTCGCGCAGGCCGCGCGCGCAGTCGTCCGCCCCCGCCGGCTCGGCCCCAAACACGCGGATGCCCGTGCCGTCCGCGGCAAGCGCCGTGCCCGCGAGGAGCCCGCCGCCGCCGACGGGCGCGACGACCGCGGCGAGCGGCTCCGGGGCCTGCGCGGCGAGCTCGAGCAGTGCGGTGCCCTGTCCGAGGATGGTGTTCGCCGCATCGTATGGGGGCACGAAGGACGCGCCGGTCTGCGCCTGCACCGCTGCGAGCGTCGCCGCCCGGGCGGGGGCGTTTGGCGCGCAGAAGGTTATCTCCGCGCCGTACCCGCGCACGGCGTCGATCTTGGGCTGCGCGGAGTTGTCCGGCTGAGTAGCAGGGATGGATGGTCACGCAGAGCGGATATGTGTTCGGGAACCAGCGGTCGCGGGTATGAGTCGACCGGTGGGGCAGGCAGATATGTATTTGTGGGGCGAGTACGTACCATGACTACATAGCACTTGACTCCTCGCTGTTTCGCCGCGAGGGCGAGGGCTCCGGCGTGGTTCCCTCCGGGCCGAAGAGGGTGATATGGGTGCACGCGTGGAGACGGCGAGTGGGTAGCTACTTACCTGAGCTGTGCGTGCACACGCCCTTGGCGAGCTGCTCTGGCGTCAAGCACGAGAGGCTGTAGCTCGCGCCGCGGAACTTGAAGGCGCCGCCCTTCTGCAGGTTCTCGGCCTTGAAGTAGAGCGTGTTCTTGCCCGGGAGAGACGCGGAGAGCGAGGACGAGGTGAAGACCGGGGTGCGATGTACCAGCGATGCGATCGCTTCGTGCGCAGCAAGTACGGAGTCTCGGGTAAGCGAGAGAGGCTCCTTGGGTGGTACCAAATCGGAGGACATCTTTACTTGTCACACTAGGTTCGAAACCACACTGCACAGTGAGTCCTAGTCATCGAGAGTCATCATCGCCGTCGGATACTGCAGCGAACCTTCATACCTGTGTTGAGGCGAGTGAGGCAGTATGGACCAAGGTCCGAGAGACCCTCGCTTTCCCATGATTGCGCAACTATATCGATATCTATGAAGATCGCGATGACTCAGCCGGAGGCGGGTGGTTAACTGAATCTGCGCTGTGGTTGAATGAGCTGATCACAAGTGTACCTGTGGAAGCAAAGTCGCGTTCCAAGTCACAGTGTGTCAGATATCCCGAGATCTGAGTCCGGCAAGCGAGGGGGAAACAAAGCAAAAAAACTTCCCGCTAGCCGACTTGAACGACTGACCTCATCATCGCACTCTCCCACGTTGGGAAGCAGTACTAGTGATGCGCTCTACCACTGAGCTAAGCGGGACTTACAAAGGGATCAACTAATTGCAATATGTAGTACTCTATATGGTAACCGCATCGCGTTCGGTAAATAACGGACTTAGCAGCCGAGCTCTGCACCACAGGTCGTCACTGTCAACACCCTGAAACTCCCGACTCCCACTATAGGCTAAGGCGTCCGGTTTCATGCGTTGTTCACGCTTGTGAACTAGTCAGCAAACTTTTCATGCGCCAAACTGTCCTCGTCAGAAGTTTTAGGCCTCATTGGACTACAGTGCACTAGTGGCTTCAAGCTACTATGCTGTGAGTCATCGATCATGCTTGAAGCTTGAAGCCCCATCTTGGGATGTACCTATTTCGAGGGGAGACACTGCGTTCCACCTCCGTCGCGCTTGAGCTTGCTATGGGCGTGTCTCACCACTATCACTGCGGAGCATTGCCATACGACGTTGGTACGTGTACGTTCCTGCACCGAACGATCCATAAGCTTAGTGTCTGGCCTGGATCAGGTACACAATGACGAGTGTGGACGCGTAGCCGACGTGAAGTTGATAACGGGAGAAGTTGAAGGAGAAATTTGCAGGACGTCACGTACGGGAGTCTGAGAGGCTGAGAAGCGAACCTGTTTGAAGCCAGAAGGTGAGTATGCAAGGACACCGCCACCGTCCATCCGCGCGTGCCTGCACCTGTCAGGTACCCACCCTCGAGACACCGCAACGACAGTGCGAGTGGCAGAAAGGCTCCGGGGGATTACCTCCGTGTTGGGAACATGCATTGAGCACTGGCAGAGATGCACGCGTCCGCGGGAGTCTGCGGTCAGGTAGGCGAGGTGTTGCTGTCCCGCTCGCGACTGTCAACTGCCAGGCCTCTGTTTCCAGTCTTTAGGTTCTATCCGTGTGCGAAAACATCGCAATTGATTGTGTCTGCGCGATTGTCGGCATCTAAGGACGGGGTCCAACCAGATTGTGCGTAGCCACCAATCAATCATCCTGCCATCTTGACCAATGCCTCAGGCCTCATAACCTCCTCCAGGACGATTTACGAATACTCGGTACGTGCGGCACTGTGTACCAGTGTGTACCGTGGGCCGCGGCCGTAATGCCGATGGAGAAAGCAAGTCGAACACGCACGACCTCGCCCGACTTGTGCTTCTTCGGCCACCACGGGTACCTGCAGGCCTGTGACCGGGCGGAACTCGACGGGATGCCATGCTCTGAATGTCGCCCGCATAGTTGGCACAAGTCAAGCTGAGGTGCTCCGGATACACACCACATTGACAGACGGACCGGAATAGCGGTATAAGTGTCTGGCAATGACATGCTACTCTCCTCGGCATTCAAATATTCATCTCCGGGTTACCATGAACCCGATCCGCGGCAGCTGGTGATGGCGTACTCAACGTCCGTCACCGATTCCTGTGACAATATCGGCCATTCGAGATGCACAAGATAATGACTATGGTGGCATGGTGGATATGGCGGCGAGACCTTGGGTGGTATGCTGCATTTAGAGGACTAGCCTGTGGAGCTAGGCCAGATATCTATAGTGTTCTGTCGTCGCAACTAGGCTGTAGCCACATGGATGCTGGATGCGACCATGGAGGACCGTGGTCGACCGTCGAGGACGGCTGATTTTTCTTCATCAAGAGCCACGTGGAGTTGTGTTGAAACTTTTAGCCATGTGCGTTTTGGTCGTTGGGACGTTGTTCCCAGACGGGCAGGACGGGAGTGCCTCAGGCTACGTCTGCTAGTGTCGGAGGCTGCTCCGGCCTGCCCCGTCCTATGGGGCGCGTGGGAATGGGGGCGGGAGGCTCGAGGCGAGGAGGCGGTGCTGCCTCGCTGTCCGACCCGGACGTCGTCCAACTCACGATCCCACCCGTATCCCCGTTCGACTGCAAATACCGGAGCGTCCTTGGATCACTCTTGTCGAAAGTAACGCTAGTCGACGCTTGCGAGCCCGCCTGCGACACAGCTTCGGATATGGTCGGATGACGTGTGGTGGAGGGGGGCATGACTCGGGCGACGGAATATCTGGTATGCACCCATGTGTCAGCGCAGCGCAGTCTGTGTGTGCGGAATCTGCTGTTTGCATGACGAGCGTGACAGCGTCGTGCACGCACGAGGAGAGCATCGTCCGGGACTGGCGGGCAGGACGCGAGATCTCGTCTGGACACCGCCGCCTCCCTGAGTCATCGGGGCGGCAATCTGGGATAGGTGTTTCGGAAACGAGCTTGGAGGGAAACACAAACTTACACAAATCTACGCCCGATCTCGAGTTGGGCCATCAATGAGGCCTGAGGGCTGTCCACGCCGCCCTCTATTTCCCACTTGCGTTTTCCTTGCAACAAACACTGACTTTTCGGACCTCCTCCGTCTCCTCCGTCCGCGCCCATTTATATACCCTACCTACTCATCCACCCATCCCTCCAGTTCTCCCTCATCCTTGCTCTCAGCACTCACAGTCTCGACTCCCTACCCTCCACCTCCCTCCATCCCTCTCTAGCCATGGGCGGTTTTCACCAGAAGATTTGGCTCATCACAGGTGCGTCGATCACCGTCGTAACCCCGGGATCGAAGTCTGACCCCTCGCTTCTCCCTACTCCTGCAGGTACCTCATCAGGCTTCGGCAAGCGTCTCGTAGCCTCAGTACTCGCACGGGGCGACCGTGTTATCGCTACCGCACGCAATCTCGAGAAGCTCCGCGCTCTCTTCCCCACTCCCAACCGCTCTCTCCACTTCATCCAGCTCGACGTCTCAGATAGCGCGCAAGTAGTGGAAGAGCGCGTCAAGGAGGCCCTCTCTGTTTGGGGCCGCATCGACGTCGTCGTGAACAATGCCGGCTACGGTGTAAAGGCCGTACTCGAGGAGGGAGGGTCAGTCTTCTCGCCATTCCGCCCGCTATTCGCTGCATACTGACTGCCACCTCTACCGATCAGCTCGCTCGCCGCTCTCACGCAGTTCCAGACAAACCTCTTCGGCGTTCTCAACGTCACAAACGCCGTCCTCCCGCACATGCGTGAGCGTCGCTCAGGCACGGTCGTCATTCTGGGTTCCCGTTCAGCGTGGCGCGCAGAAGTATCGGTACGTCCTTCCATTCCGGATCACTGCTCAAGGGCCGGTTACTCATCGTCCAATCCGACTTGCAGCCCGCCGGTTTCTACGCTGCTTCAAAGGCCGCCGTACACGCTGTCGGAGAGACCTACGCCAGCGAGCTCCGACCCTTCGGCATCCGCGTCCTCATCGTCGCGCCCGGCGCATTCCGGACCGAGGGCGTCCACGCCTACCCCGCGACAATACACAACCACGTCCCCGCGTACGACGACATGCGAAACGCGGGCATGGCCCGCTTCACCGCACTCGCCGGCACGGAGAAGGGCGACCCCGCCAAGGCGATGGAGCTCCTCGTCGACGTTGTCAAGGGCGAGGGCCGTGCCACCGGCCGCGAGTGGCCGCTATGGCTCGTCATGGGCCGGGACGCGTACACGGACGTGCGAGCGAAGTGCCAGAAGCTGCTCGCGACGATGGACGCGTGGGAGGACGTCGCGACAGACCTGGAGTTCGACTGCGATGCGTGAACGCCACGCCGCGCGGCGACTCGCCCGCCGCCGTCTGCGCTGCGTGCTGCGCGACGTGTCAGCGACATTTCGCTCTGTGCCATTCTGCCCGCGGCCGGTGGCTCGTGCCCGTATCCGGATACGGGTCCGACCTGGACGATATCCCGTGGCTGGCAGGCTCCCGGACGTTATTTATCCATAACTATGCTTGCTCCGCTCCCCGAACCGCTCGCTTGCTTACCATGCTTTCTCATCGCACATCCATCTCGCAACTCTCTTCGTCTTACGGATACATACGCCCCCCTCTATTTGCATCCATCGCTCAGCCATCTCTCGGATCTCGCCTCCATATGCATCTCGCTCCATTCGGACAACATCATCACATTACTGTAGCTCCCTAGTCTTACTCACGTCCTCGTCTTCGCATCCCATCCATCTGTAGCTATTCACACATACTGTACCGGATCTTGTATTCCTCTATCGTACGTAATCTGCGCTACGGGCTCGGCTCGTGCTTGCAATACTTAATACATCTACATCGCCACTGCACGTATATGCTGCGTTATCCGGAGGGACGGTGCCTGTGTGATACTACCCCCGTCGCAGCTACGGAAGTAATACGTCAGGGATGCCATCAATCTGTTCACCGTCGGGCGGCCTTGTTGGCAGGTGGGATACTACCTACTATTAGATGCTGTCCTCAGCATAACAGATCTGATCCCTGCGCCGAGGAGTTGAGATGGGGCTCCTGGCTCGGCGGGGATTGACTTTGCCGAGCACCTCCGTAGTACTTGGATTTATTCCAGGCGTACGCGTACAGGCGTAAATGTTCCATGTCGTCTGACTGCAACGAATCGTCGTTTACTTTTAGTATAATTATAATCGAGAGCTCGAACCTATCGTTTAGGTCAAAACTATTGGGAACATCATCCTGATACCGGTGCGCCAGTGATAATCCAGACAAAGCGCACTTGTGAGTCTTTTCTGAGTCAATCATGATATACTTGCGTGGTTCAACAACGGAGCCATGCAATCCTCTACCATAGTGTGACGCGCTGCACATGCATGTCGTCCGAGGCGCCTCGTATCCGATTCTGCTTAACCTCTTATGTCGGGAGCGACTCACCTGGCATCAGGTCGTGTCTAGAGAGATGGGCGAGCAGCTCGTCCGTTTCCCATAGTCAAGTCCTTCCACTCCTTCGCGACCCTACTACGCGACGCCATAGACTCCAGGGTCACGATGCAGAACCGACCTTGAACGAGCCTTTTGGCATATGACTTCTCGCAGTACATCGAGATGCTCCAATCGGTCGACCAGCAAATCTACGGGAGCAGGGCGTGCGCGAGCCCGACCTCAATTGTCCCTCCCTCGGAGTCCCTCCTTCTCGCTCAGGAGATCTTCGCGAACGCACTCGGCCTTCGAGAGGTTGCAGAGGACGTCGATGCCGACTGGTTATCTCGGCGGGTACCGC